GGAAGAAGAAGAAGAAGAAGAAGAAGAAGAAGAAGAAGAAGAAGAAGAAGAAGAAGAAGAAGAAGAAGAAGAAGAAGAAGAAGAAGAAGAAGGTTGCCTGACATCACAGGTAAAACTTGCGAAAAAATGGCCGCCAAAGTTAGATGACTTCCAAAGCTGTTGTGTCCTTGAAAACTACAAGTTTACATTATCTGTGTTTTTGGCCAACGGTTTTTTTTCGTTAGATTCATGCAGTAATGTGATTTATTTTGAATTGACATAAAGATATTGGGTACCCCCCCCCCCCTTCCACCAACGGAAAACAAAATCAGTAAAAATTGCCCAACGTGCAAACAAGTGTGCAGGTTTCTTCGGTTTCATTATTAAATATTGACGAGCACCAGATTTCACAACGATGCCACACAAATCATACACACTCATTCATAGGTCTACATCTATAGAAGTTAAATAACTTTGAACATCATTTCTGCTATGGCTAACTAGCACTAAGTCAGAGATTGTATCACTGCACAAAGACACGGAATTGCATGTCACGACAGGGTGGAATCAGGTCCTAGGAAATTTGGGGACATGTAGAGTTATTGATATCATTTTAAAGCTTGTTCATTTGTCTATCTTTGATTTAAAAAACCCACCCATCTAACTTTAATAAAAGTCGAGGCATTTGCTACTGAGGGAGGTGGGGATCACCTTGTTTCAGCTGTAAAATTAGCAAGAAATTAGCTTTTGAAGTTTGGTGACTTCCAAAGCTTGAGTGTCTTTGGAAACTGAACATAGAATGTTTTGCCTGTCGTCAACTTTTATCAAAAAAATCAACACAGAAATTAGTGTTTTAAATGGAGGGAAAATGGGTTTAGCCAAAATAGAAAAAAATCATACAAATTGCCAAGCCGTCGGATAAATTAATTGCCTTCACAATCCGTGAATAAAAGTGGAAAAGCTCATAGAACATGCTGCAGAGCGTTTATTTATGGCCTCTCTACACTGTAGTATAGTTATATTTTTCTTAAATGTGGGTGTTTTCGGGTTCCTATCTATATAATTAAGATCATTTAGAAGACGGGCTTCCGTCTCTGCCTTTCAGGTCAACCCGGGCTGAGAGGAATACACCATCCCGGCAGAAAGACTGAGATGCTCGATAAGAATTTCTCCCCACTCGGGAACCAATCTCACGTTTCCTGTGTGTAATAGCGTAACACCTAAACTCCACACCACAGACATATGTACACTGTCTAGGACTCAGGTCCACATGTTAGGCATTGTGATAAAATCATGGCGCTTGTCAAAATAATGAAATCCAAGAAATCGGCATTTTTCTGGAGTTTTGCCAATTATTTTTCGAATTTTCTTTTTTTCCTTTTATTTATTTATTTATTTATTTTTTTGCTCTCCACCTATCATGTCCATTTGAAAACTCATTTCGGTGTTAATTTTTCCGCAAAAAAAGTTAATTAAAATTTTTAAAAACCCGACATTTTCAGTTGTCAAGGACTCTAAATCTTTAGAAGTCACCGAATTTGGATGGCCATTTTCTCGCTAATAGTACTTCTGAAACCAAGTGGCCCCCACCTCTTTTAATCGAATATAGTCGGCCGAACCCGTTAAGACGGTGGGTCTGGTCTGACAGACGGTGTCGGGCGTTAATATTAGTGCTGGGCGGCTAGGTTCCCGATTATTGAAAGCTAGTAATCGCAGGAATCGACTCCGAACCCAATTACTTACTTTCTAAAGATGCGACTTCTTCCGATGGGTATCTGGTTGGGCCCTAACATTCTCAGGATTTAGGATAACCTTGATTTCAAAACACTACGAAGAATCAACTTTTATTTTTCAAAAACAAATTCTAAAAAAAAAAGATGTTAATGATCAAAGTTACTGGAAACAGTTGGATTACATAAAAAGGAGTCGGAACTTTTCTTTCGCAACATTCATCGTGGGAATCGGTTCCGGAATCGCTTCTCCGCCCAGCTCTAGTTAATATGGTTCCACCCAAAAAGAAACTGACCTTCGGATGTCGGGCCAGGCCCTTGTGTTCCTCCGTGTGTTGTTGTTGACATAGGGTCTAATGAGCTCGGGGCAACTGGTACATTAGGGCTTGTCACAGCATCTGTGCTTGTGGGTCTTTTCATTGCTGTTGCTCTTGATTGTGGTGGTAGTATTGTTGCTTCGGTAGTTGTGGTAGTGGGTGTACTAGTCGTGGGTGTTGTGGTGGTCTCGGTTGTTGTTGTTGAGGTCGTTGGTGTGGTCGTCTTTGTTGTTGTTGCTGTCGTTGTTGTTGTTGGAGATGGTGTGGTTGTTGGTGTTGTTGTTGTTGTTGTTGGAGTTGGTGTAGTTGTTGTCGTTGTGGTGGTGGTGGGGGTGGTGGTGGTGGTTGTGGTGGTAGTCGTAATGATTCGATCTGACGGAAGCGCAGAGGTTGAGCATGAGATGTTGAGCCCAGACTCCAAATCTAAATTGGATGAAAAACCTTTTTAAAGTTACACATGT